TCACGGGTGACATCTCCCTCCAACAAACCAGTCACCCGACCCATATAAGCCGCCTGGGCATTCAAAGAGGGCCAATCCGATTAAATAATAGTATGCCCCCGCCATTTCTGCTCCCTCCAACAAACCAGTCACCTGACACATATAAGCCGCCTGGGCGTTCAAAGAGGGCCAATCTGATTCAATAATAGTATGCCCCGCCATTTCTGGGCAAAAAAATCGTGGATAATATGCATGATCTCAGTTTGCTCCGTGGCCGGTTGCCCATTCATATGGTTAAGTTGTTCAATGACGTTGCCCCTCCGCCTGGCAGAGGCCATAGTGTGAAAAAACTTGGTATTTTCATCCCCCTCTGCAATCCAACGTACCTTAGCACGTTGGCCCCACCATGTAGTGATCCTGGCAAGAGTGGATTTTAACAATTGAACCTTATATCGCAAGGTCTCAGCTTGAACCTCAGTAAGCCCGGTGGGCGAGCATTTGATTTCCTGCAGGATTCTTATCTCCCCATATAGGTCCTCCTTCAGTTGATTCAGCCTATCCATTTTATTTCTACTCCAGAAGAATAACGCCCTGAGAGAACGCTGACATTTCCTTTGCAACTTGGCTGCTTCCGAGGCGGAATCAAGCACTTTCCATTTCTCCGAAACAATCTGCCAAGCTCTAGGATAGGTAGTCCAAACATCCTCAAACTTGATCCAGTTTGAGTATGTCTTCCTACCTCCCACCTTGAAAGAACAAAGGATAGGACAATGATCTGACGCCACCCTGGAGAGGTGGACCACCCGCATCTCCTGATAATTATCAAGAATGGATGAGCTAACTAGGAACCTATCCAGCCGAGAGTAAATGCGCCTCCTCGCATCTTTGTTATGAGCTGAACATTGCTTTTGCATTCATCTAAAGAGGGACATTACAAGACCGTTACAAAACCAATAAGAAAGAAAAAACTAGGTGACCCTAACCCGGGTCACACCCAAAACTATCATCCTCAAGGATGGACAAAAAAACTTGAGGAATACATATACCATGTGTATCACCCGTATCCCAAACAAAATTACCCTGAATCGCTCTTTGAGCGCAAAAATGAGCCGCCATATTGTGTTCCCTATAAGTGTGAACAAAAAGAACCTTGTGAAAAGCCTTTATCCAGTTCAACTTGTCTCTTTCCTCGGGCCGGTTCCGCCACTGCTCACGTTGCTGGCAATTATGCATAAATTCCATCACACTTTTGTTGTCCCCTTCAACAATAACGCCGTCCACATCAAACATCCATTGAAGAAGCAGTTTTTCAATAAAAAAAACCGCCATGATCTCCACTTGAGTGCTATCCCAATGAGTGATAGTCCAGCCAGCCGCCGTAAATAGTTTGCCATATTCATCTCGAATAACAATGCCAATCCCGCCAGCATTGTTCCTGCGCAGAGCACCGTCAATGTTGATTTTCAACCAACCAGTAGGGGGGGACACCAGGAGTATGAGTGTAACAATCCAGGGGATTGACGAGTGACCCGTTGCTCCCGGTTAAGAGAAAAAAAACTTTATGAGGTGGATCCAAGAACACGGGCAGCCAGTAGGGAGATAGGAGTCACGGACTTGCCGTGCCGTAATGCATTCCGATTTCCCCAATTCTGATGCACCACCGCATAGTACAGCTTTGCCCACCACGGTTTTGTCTTCATGGCCTGCATAAGATCCTCAAGAGAAAGAAATCTAGGGGTGTGGAACCCCCAATCGGCCAATCTGGACAACAGACTCCGTAGTTGATGACATTGGGTGGTAATATGGTCTAGATCCTCAGTTTGATTGCAGCCCATTGGGCAAAGAATGTCAACGCCCAATCCAGCCAAGAAAGAGTGGGAATCAGGTCCTTTGACACCCGCCACCAAAAAATGCGCTCCCGGGGTCGAAGACCCAGTTTAAAAAAAAAATACGCGGGGTCAATTTCATCCTAGAATAGTGAGTTATAACATATAGACGAAACAGAGGATCCCACCGAGCATTTGATAAGTTCCAACGAGTCACGGTCATGCTCCTCCCATATCCGCACGGCGCAGATCCTATCAACAAGAGATATCCCAAAGCATTGCAGCAACTTTGGGCTACTCCATACCCTCCCCGGAGTGATGAGTTCTCCAACCGAACAGCCCTCTATGGTCTCAATGTTACAGTAAGTAGTCCATGACGAAATGGGGGGATTTCTAGAATCCACACATGGTTTAGAACATCAATATCCACCCCATTGGCCACCTTCCAGCGGACGCAATTCGTCAAATTGTCGGCCCCATTGCGTATGATCTTCCAGCCGCTAGAATCCCCCCGGTTCCGATCCTGTCTCCACGGCCAATCCCCGTATTTATGTCTCATACGCTTGAAAAATACCAGTAGGCTTGCATATAAAATCCCAGGTGATTCCTGCCCGCAAAGGGCCAGTCCAGTTCCGGCTAGCATGGAAACCGAGCCTTCCCAAGCACGTCGGTCTTGTAAGGTTTCCCCATGCAGCATAGTGCAAGCTCTTGTGATTCGAATCATTCTCCCAAAGAAACCGGCGACAGAGTTTCTCCACCTCGGCAAGAACCCCCCGAGGAACTAGCATATGGGTCACAGCAAAGGTCGACAATGGGAGCATCACAGAGTTAATTATAGTGATTCTACCAGCCAGCGATAATTGTCTCGTCCCCCAAGACAGTGTATAGTTGTGCAACTTCAAAAGCAGTGGTCCAAAATCCGCCTTCGTCAGTCTACGCATAGCAAGTTTAACCCCAAGGTAGTCCATTTCCTCAACTTTGCGGCAGCCGGCAAGACGAGCTAAACGGTGTTTAGACGTAGAATGCACCACTTTGCTGAATAGAATAGCCGACTTGTTACTGTTGATCCGCTGCCCAGTCCATCCACAGTAGTCGTCTAGGATGGTCACAAACTTCTTCACATTGAGGATGGTAGCACCTGCAAAAAATAAAACATCGTCAGCATAAAGGAGGTGGGACACAGGAGGTCCCCCCTCACGGATTTGTACACCAAGGTTCCGATAGTTTTGTTTGAAGTGTAGAGATAGCAGCTCCGAGCACAAGATAAACAAATATAGAGAAAGCGGACAGCCTTGCCGGAATCCGCACTCCACCAAGATCACATCCGACACATGCCGTTAACCGAAATGGTAAAATGAGGTGCAGTCACACAACTAAGCACCCATGACCAGAATTTAAGAAGTGTAAATTGGATAATATGCATGATCTCAGTTTGCTCCGTGGACGGTTGCCCATTCGGATGGTTAAGTTGTTCAATGACATTGCCCCTCCGCCTAGCAGAGGCCATAGTGTGAAAAAACTTGGTATTTTAGTCCCCCTCTTCAATCCAACGTACCTTAGCACGTTGGCCCCACCATGTAGTGATCCAGGCAAGAGTGGATTTTAACAATTGAACCTTATATCGCAAGGTCTCAGCTTGAACCTCAGTAAGCCCAGTGGGCGAGCATTCGATTTCCTGCAGGATTCTTATCTCCCAATATAGGTCCTCCTTCAGTTGATTCAGCCTATCCATTTTATTTCTGCTACAGAAGAATAACGCCCTGAGAGAACGCCGACATTTCCTCTACAATTTGGCTGCTTCCGAGCCGGAATCAGGCACTTTCCATTTCTCTGAAACAATCTGCCAAGCTCTAGGATAGGTAGTCCAAACATCCTCAAACTTGATCCAGTTTGAGTATGTCTTCCTACCTCCCACCTTGAAAGAACAAAGGATAGGACAATGATCTGACGCCACCCTAGAGAGGTGGACCACCCGCATCTCCTGATAATTATCAAGAATGGATGAGCTAAATAGGAACCTATCCAGCCGAGAGTAAATGCGGCTCCTCGCATCGCTGTTATTTGTCCACGTAAAAGCAGGACCAGAATATCCCGGATCAACCAAATCATTAGCAGCCATAAAATCCCCCATTTCTCTAGCCGATTGGGAATATGTAAAAGGTTTCCCTCCTTTCTTCTCACCAGGTTCCAGAATGCAGTTAAAGTCACCACCAACCACATGGGGTAGAGTAGCCGAGAGGTGGTTGGAGATGTCCTCCCATAGTTGTCGTCTTCCATACATATCATTATTAGCGTACACCACAGCAATGTCCCAAGCCATAGTAGTAGGCCTACACATGGTACCAATAATGCACTGATACGACTGGAACGAGACCTGAAAGGTACCCAACATGTTCTTCCATAAAACGAGGATGCCCCCGCCCTACCATGCGATTGCTGAAAGCAAAAATCCCAGTTCCTCCCAACCAGCCTATCCACATCCCTTCTAGTCCAAGTTTCCATTTTGGTTTCCAGCAGTCCAATGAAGCTTACACCGTGTTCCCCAATTAGGTGTCGTAAGAAATTACCTGTCTCCTTCTTATGAGCACCCCTACAATTCCAGCATAAGATGTTAAGCATTATCAACCGAAGGGGAAGCGTCCCCGCCGCAAAAAACTTCAGAAAATATCTCTTGCCATTGATCAGCAAAATCACCCTCAATCTTGCCATCAACTGATCGGTCCTTGACGTTAATGTCACGTTCACAGAACAAAGAGGCATCCCCACCGCCCTGGTCCCTAAACCGACGGACTCCATGTAATCTTTGTAGCACACCAAAGGTTCCCAATTCCTTAGCACGTTTCTCCTTAGCCTCCCATGCCTGCGTATTCCTTGATTTCAGAGAGTTGGATTTCGAAGTCGAGAACCGTAAGACCTTCGGGGCCAAGATTTGAGCAGGGGAGGACCGATTACTCCGTCGGTTGCTTCTCCTAACAGCAGGTGTCTTCAATAGCCCCGGGGCTAACCCATGTTCCGATCCGCCACATTCTTCTATATTTGTCCCACCATTACTCCTGGAATCAACAATAGATGAGCTCCCCCTAGAATCGAGAGCCACCACCTGTGGTGCAATAACTACCTGCCCACATTGTTCAATTTGCATTGTTTCTCCAGGTCCCATGCCATTATATTCCTCCCCCCGATTCCATTCAGATGCTATCTTGCTCGGCAACGGCGCCAACTTGATTGAACCATCACTGTTGCTATGTGAGCCATAAGGCCCCCCACCTTTGTAACCTCATTCCCAGCCGGAGCTTTACCACGGACATCTTTGTCCCCAACAGAAAGCCTCTTGTTCAATATATGAGTCCCAGCTTTATTCCCACGGTCGGTGGGTAATAAAGGCTCCTGAATCTCCATGGAAGTATTCCCTCTGTTCACAACCTGCCAGACCTTACTTCCACTAGAAGGTTTTGTCACATTATTGTTCGGATTGGTCGCGTTCCGCTTGTTGGGTCGTCTCCTCCTATTAACGATTGTCCATTCCCCTGGATCATCAGCCATAGAAGGGGAAGCAGCATCCGGTCCTCCCTCAATTTCCATATGATTTAAATGTCCTGTAGGTGCCTGAGTGGCAGGCCCCCTAGTCGCCATATCATTCTTGGACTGTGGTGGAATTTCCCTGCACCCCTCCATTTTATGACCAACCTTGCCACACGACATACATATTAGGGGGATGCCTTCTTTTTTTATGGGTTGAAAAAAAGCCCCTTTCAACCCCTGAGCCCATACTCCCTTGGGTAATTTCTTGGAAAGATCAATGCGGACGCATATACGTGCAAAAGCACACCGATTCCATGTGTTAGTCTGCTCCTCCATGAGTAGCGGTTCCCACACCCCGGTCGCCAACCTGGCCAAGTTGTCCGAATCCCAGTACTCCAGAGGCAGGTTAGGGAGTCGAAGCCAGACAGGTGAAGAGAAGCTCCTAGCTGAATTGGGCTTGGATCCAATGGTCCATTGATCCACCCCAATGATTTGGCCAGCCACGTACCACGGACCACCGATAAGGACATTATCCCTCGCAGTTGCATTCTCGAACCAACAGAGAAAGCAATCCAAACCCATAGGAGCGATTCGAGACAGGCCAAGGTGACCCCATTTCCGTTGCAACTCATTTTGAACTACCCAAAAAGGCACTCGCCTCCCGAGCAGGCAGCCAATAAGTGCCTGATCCAATTTCTATACATTGCCACGAGCCTTGTCCAGGTTCAGCGTGACCATACCGTCATCCCCCACAACGGATTTGGCATCAACCTCCAGTTTAAGAGCAACCGGTTGGCCCTTCTTCCAAGCATTCAATGTTGGCTTAAATCCTAAAATAGATCCACCAATCTCCCTAGTCGAATTCCCTTTCTGTCCGTTGTCACCGGGAGCTGAATTGGCATTACAACAAACACCAAAAGTGCATATTTCAGCAGCAACTGGCCCCTTCCCCAGGACCCCCGCAGGACCATTCCACTCCATCGCCTCATTTGGATTACCATTCTTCTCCATATTGTTGGCTGTACTCATTGTTCCAACCATAACCTCTTGATTCCTCCCTGCTCTGTGCACATTGTGTACCACATTCCCCCGAGCTGGAGCAAGATCCTGGATCATGCTCATCCCTCCAAATGCAAAGGGAGCCACAGCAGGTTTGACATTGCTACAATCACGCAACATTCCGTCCACAGGCCGTGCCCAGTCAGAGCTTGAACCAACATCAACCCTCTTACGGCCATTTTCCTCCCGACATACCATCCTGTCCATATCACGGTCACAGGTATCCACCAACGGCAAGCCCGTGTCCTTCTGCAGTCCGTCCTTAATTTCCTTCAGGAAATCCTCCACTTCTCTACCCACCATAATGTCCATGACCTCCCCACGAACCAAGGAGTCATGCGCCGGAGCTGCAGGGACTTCCATCTCCATTGGCAGCGAGTCCCCCACCTCCACACCGGATCCGACCTTCGGTTCATCCAATAGCGTGGATGTAATCGGAGACACCGTCGAGAAGCCAGACGAGCCCTCCAGGGGTTGTCCAGACAAAGCCCCCCCAGATCTAGCATCCCCGGCAGAGTTATCAGACAACAATGCCCTAACAACTGTCGAACCACAGGAGCTGGATATATCAAACGACAACAATGCCCTGGCAGTAGTCGAACCACTTCCGCCTTTCATCGGAGACCGAGTGTAAACCAACTGTTTCGTCGAAACGCTGGAACCAGCAGACCCGTTCAGACCTTTCAGCGGAGATCTCTTTTCCCCACCGAATCCCACTGTGTTGGCCGCTCCAGAGCCCAGATAGGCTCTCCCCAAAGTTCCCCTCCCTCCATCACCCTTATCAGATTGACCCTCCGAATATTTCCCCCCCGCATTGTCTTTACCTCCCCCACAACGAGGTGGCTGACGAGGGGGTGACCGACAGTCACCCCCCACCATAGCCACGAAACCCAACCGGTTGCAGCACACGGAAATCAAGAGAGAGAGCAAGAGAGAATGAGAGTGAGAGAGAGCAAGAGAGAGAATGAGAGAGAGAGAGAGGAGAAAGAGGGAGAGAGAGACGAAGAGAAAGAGGGAGTGAGAGAGAGAGAGAGAAAGAGAGAGAGAGAGAGGAGAGAGAGAGAGAAAGAGAGAGAGAGAGAGAGAGAGAGAGAGAGAGAGAGAGAGAGAGAGAGAGAGAGAGAGATAAAAAGAGAGAGAGAGAGAGAGAGTGAGCTGAACTTTGCCTTTGCATTCAATTAAAAACTATAAAGAGCTACAACGGCCACAAAGGGACCCCAAAAGAAAGAAAGACCCCTAACAGGGGGCGGAAACACCACTATCATCCTCAAGGATGGACAAAAAATCCTGAGGAATACATGTACTAACATTGTCATCTAAATTCCAAAGAAAACTATCCTCAATTGCTCTTTGAGCACAAAAATGAGCCTCCGAATTAACCTCCCTCCTCACATGAACAAAAAGAACCTTCCGAGGGGACCCCAACCAATCTAGCCCACCCCCGACGTCGGGCCGGAGCTTCCAGAGTTCCCGCACCTTGAACTTTTCCATGTATTGGATAACACTGGCGTTATCCCCTTCGATGATTAGACCACCCGGCTCTAGCATCCATCCCACAAGCAGCTTTTTAATATGTTGAATGGCCAATAACTCCACCTGGGTGCTATCCCAATGTGTGATGCACCAGCCCGCAGCCACCACAAGTTGGCCCCGATCATGCCAAATGACGATACCAATTCCACCCCTGTTGGAACGGTGCAAGGCCCCATCGACGTTGATTTTCAGCCAACCAGAAGGGGGGGGACACCACGATGGGGGGGGGGGGGGGGGGGGCACACCACGATGAAGAAGAAACCAATCCGGAGGATTGAAAGGTGAACCGTTGCTCCAGGCATGTAGAAAAATAAACGCGTGATAGAGACTCGAGAATATTGGCAGCCATGGCCGTGGGGGTGCTCCTAACTTTACCAAATCGAATAGCATTTCTATTATTCCAGCACCGAAAAACCGCACCGCAGTAGAGACGGCCCCAGAAAACCGTAGTGGCAGAATGGCTCTTCAAAGCTTCTTGGAGGCCACCGAAGGAGGAAATTTGGGAGTAGGAAAACCCCAACCGGCTAGGCACCGACGAACGTCCCCAAGCTGTCGGCAGTGCGCAAAAACATGATCCAGATCCTCACGAAGACCACAACCTACCGGGCAGAGCAGGTCAGTCCCCAGCCCTCTTCGGTGCAGCCAGGAGCAGGTTGGTAGTAGATCCTTATAAGCCCTCCACCAAAAAATTTGTTCGCGGGGCCGGAGGCCAATTTTGAGGACCGGATACACCGGATCCTCCTCCTCTTGGAACAGAGACGTGTAACAGATAGCATAAATTGAGGTGCCAAGAGGGCATTTGATTAATTCCAGAGAATCATCAGAGGAATCCGGCCGAATTATTATGTCACAGATGACATCCACCAGGGAGGCCCCAAAAACTTGCATCAGTTTGGATCTATCCCATCTTCCATCGGCTGTAAGGAGCTCCCACACCACCAGGCCTTCCGCAAGCTCAACATTGCAGAATGTAGGCCATCGAGCAATGGCCAAGTCGTTAATCCAAACGTGATTGAGCACATCAATTTCAGCACCATTACCAACCCGCCATCGGATACAATTGGTTAAGCTATTCGCCCCGCAACAAATCACCCTCCAAGCAGCAGAGTCTTCACGTCGCTGGCCCCGGGACCAAGGCCAATCACCATACTTGTGTCTCAAGCACCGATTAAGTAAGCTTTGTGGCTTACTAAAAAAGTTCCATGCGATTCGAGCACGTAAGGGGCCGGTCCACCGTCCACTAGCATGGAACCCAAACCCCCAAGTCGCCACGGTTTGGTTAGCGCCTCCCAGCTGGCATAGTGTAAGCTCTTATGGTTATGATCCTTATTCCATAGAAAGCCGAGACATATCTTCTCCATCTCGTCGAGAACACCTCACGGAACCATCATATGCTAGACAGCATAGACCGAGAGAGGAAGTAAGACAGAGTTAATCATAGTAAGTGAGAGAGATATGGTGAGAGAGAGTTGGAGAGAGAGAGAGAGAGAGAGAGAGAGAGAGAGAGAGAGAGAGAGAGAGAGAGTGAGTGAGAGAGATGGAGAGATATGGTGAGAGAGAGATGGAGAGAGAGAGAGAGAGAGAGAGAGAGAGAGAGAGAGGGAGAGAGAAAGTGAGTGAGAGAGATGGAGAGATATGGAGAGAGAGAGATGGAGAGAGAGAGA